AACACTGCCAATGATATCTTAATTATGAGTGAGAATTGTAAATAAAATTAGTTAAAAAATATTAATTGTCTATAAGATTTGGTACATTTTGTTGAATAAGATCATTTTGAAACTCATTAATTATATGAGCAAAGTACATAAAAGAATTCTCCATTATATAGATTATTAATCCGAATGTGTAGTTTATGCCTTTAAATAGTAAATCAGATTTGGTAAATTAATATTTTCTCGATGTTTCAAGTCATTCTGAACCGCACTTTGACCTTTTCTTGGTCAAGTTTTTCAAAAACAGCTGCACCGATTTCAAAAATTTAAAAAGTTATTTGATAAAACTGGATAAGGAAGAATAATCAGAGGAATGATTAGCTTTTATTAAAGATGGGCTGAACCATTCTTCAAAAGATCGAGAACGTCATAGAATATTAAAGGCCAATGATTCAATTACAAAAAAATATCAAAGTTTGGAATGATGTTTATAGAATGCACTATACAAATAATGTTTCTTAGTTTGAAACTATTAAGGTAATTTTAATGAGAAAAGACTTGTAATAAGTTTGAAAATGGAAGGACTAAGATTTTAAAATCTAAAAGTATTGAAAAGATTTCAAACTTGAAAAGTTTTTGAGAAACTTCTACGAAATGTAAATTTTAAGTCACGTCTGCAAACACACATATAACCCGAATTTTGATCTCAAAAGATTCAGACTAAGTTGAAACATCGAGAACAATAAAAATTAGCAAATTGGTTTTTCTAGCAAAAATAAACTTCTTGGGAGTGTTAATGAAAAAAGTTGCCTTGCCTTTCCTTTACTATCTGCTAGTGTAATTCAATGATGAAATGTAAATAAAGATGGAATGAACCCTTCTTCCAAATTAGTTGTTAAATAAAATTTTTTGACGATTTTATGAAACTTTGCACAGTGATAAAGATCATGGTCTTGAAATAATTAACATCATAGAATATTATTAGGCCACGAATGATTCAATTATAAAATATTATTTCAGAAATTTATTATGCATTATGGGAAGTTCATACAACTCGCCTTAAGTCAAATTACCACTTACACCTAGTTTTCATTATTGATCAATCGGATACACATTTTACAACAAAAGTTATATTTCGGCATATACTATTGCAAACACCTTTCCATTACTCGATCATCCATAAAATGTTACAGAACATGTTACTTTTAAAAGTAACATTTAAAATTGATTGTTTTAAAAATGAGTTTATGAACTGATAAACAAAAATACTTCGCAACGTGTAATTAA